TCAGAGGCCCAAACTTAATTTTCTGATTCTTTCCAAATATTCTAGGGTATGGAAACTTATGAACAAAATATTCTTGTGTATGCTTATTTTTCAGTTCCTATCCCCAAAGGGTTTCTATCCTAGAAAGGGTTTCAACAGTATTCAAAGGCAGTAAATAAATTAAATGAAGTAAGTGGTCAGTGATAAGCTGACACAAGAAACAGTGTGGGTAAGTACTAACTCTGGCTTAACCTCTCTGTGTACCTTGTCTATTTTAGTTAAATTATCCCTGCTTCTGTTATCCATGTGCGTTCCCACTGTGTATGTGCATGTGCGTGCGTGTGTGTGTGTGTGTGTGTGTGTATGTGTGTGGTGTATGTTTTGGAAGGGTTGGGGGACAACAGAGCCAGAGTACATTTTTACATTTCTCTGTGAGGTGGACTGAAACATCAACAAGCCAAATTTCAGCTGTAACAAGCCTAACTTTCTCTTTTGAAGCTTATAAATATGGTTTCTAATTAGCATTTTTCCTGATTTTTGTAATTTTGTTACTTGATCTACAGATACAAATCAATTGTTTGTGTGGCCAAGTATAAGAGATACACCTAACAATTTGTATATTTAATTTTATTTAGGATAAGGTTTGCATATGCCATTTTTTCCATACACCATATGTAGGGCATATTATAAAATAAAGAAGCTAAATAGGGGCTATGTAGTCTATAAACTATCACAGAGTTTTGGACCTAATTTCTTTTTCATCAAAAAATTGATAAACATGGAAGGATGAAGAGTTACATCTTGGTACTGGCTTTCTTATTTAAAATATATTTCTTCCATTGGCATTGCCCTTCCTTGGCTGTCTCCACAGATCAATCTGCCCATGTTTTTCAAGATCCACCTTCTCCAAGAGGCCTCCTTTGATCAGTTGAGATGGCTGTCTTACCTAATCTTTCCCTAAACATCTATGCCCACCTTGTGCTAGTCAACCCTACATCTTCATGTGTCTTCCTATTTTCTCCCACCCAAACTGAAAGTCTATACACACAGGGGCCTTTTCTTCCACTTCTATGAAATAGTAACCACCCAATGGCATGAGATTCATTAAGACTAATTCAATAAGGAAATACATGAATCAAAAAGAATCCTTTGAAGGACATAGAGAATCTAAAGAAGATTCCAAAGGCAAATGCTTGGGTCACACTTACTCCTGACATTTTGTTCTGACCACCAGCAGCAATGATGGAAATGACACAACCATTATCCACACAAGTGTACCTGTTTATGTCAATTTCTCCTAGCTCTTCTCCCATTCAATAAATGAAGAATGGAGCAAATTTTGGAAAACATTGTTACTATCTTAAAATATTATTTAATGGTAAGTTTTACTCCTTTATCACCTCTTTGCTGATTTCAAAGAAGTGAAGTTTTTTTAAAGGATGATTAGAGGCACACATGCATGTTGCAGTTGGTTGAGCATCCAACTCTTGGTTTTGGCTCAGGTAGTGATCTTACAAGCGGGGGATCAAGCCCTGCCTTGGGCTCTGCACTCAGCACGGAGTCTGCTTGAGATTCTCTCTCCCTCACCCTCTGCCCCTCTTTCTCTCTCTCTCTCTGAAATAAATAAAGAAATCTTTAAAAAAGGATGATTAGAAAGTTATTTAATTAATATAGATGAAAGTTGTAGGGAAAATGATCCAATTCTTCTTGTAACATAAGAATCACTGGAGATAGCTTAATAAGTTAAGGGGTCTTTGTAAACTACCTTTAAAATTAAACACCTAAAAGGAGATTTAATTACATTTTGAGGATGATCTTCCCAGGAAGAAAGGGTTAAAACTGCCTCTTTTTATTTTAACTCTCTGGTGTCAACAAAGAGATCATTTATGTCAGGTATGAAGAGAAACCATTTCAAAGGAACCACCATTTGATTTAAAATGAAATCAATAATCAACTACAACAACTTAAGATTAATGACCCATGCTACTTCCCATCTATATTTTCTTATTAAAGCAGATAATCATCAATTAATTCAGTTGATCTTTCAATAACCTATAAATGAGGATATCTGCAATAATGTATCACAAAAGAAATTGTCATAATCTTTTACAGTTACCTCTTTCACTTGGATAATGGTATTTGTTTATCTTTGGGTTCCCAGACCATGTAGCATAGTGCAAATAGTAGGTATTCAGTTAATGTTTATGACTAAATTAATCTGTCATTTGTTTTGAATGATATTATACTGATTGGCTCACTTGGCCTAACCAGCCATCACCTGAGATATTATTCCAGTTTTTTTAGTTGAAGAGAATGATAATCTGTACAAGGTCATAAAAGAAATAAATAGTGAATCATAGACTAAAATCTCTCCATTTCTTTCCTCATTAAAGTACTGGAGGAAAAGAGGGAAGGACAGAGAATACAAATGCTTCATTACATATATCTCATTGGTTTTTTTTTAAGATTTTATTTATTTATTTGACAGAGAGAGAGAGAGAGAGACAACGAGAGAGGGAACACAAGCAGGGGGAGTGGGAGAGGGAGAAGCAGGCTTCCCGCCGAGCAGGGAGCCTGATTCCGGGCTCCATCCCAGGACCCTGGGATCACGACCTGAGCCGAAGGCAGCCGCTCAACGAACTGAGCCACCCAGGTGCCCTGGCCTCATTGTTTTTAAAAATTTTACAGTACTGCAGGAAACTGTGTAATAGCAAGTGCTAACATGAAGAATTGTAAGGCATGTAAATTTTGCAAATTCCAATCATAACCAATAATAATTGACTTTCATCAACCACAATTTGGCCTCAATTTTTCTGTATATAAACATTTATGCAAAGTTCTTGAGAATGCTTGAGTGAAATAAAAAATAACAGAGATAAAAATAAGATATAAAATATAGTATCAATTTAAGTTGTTACTTCATAAAATGAATTGCTATTGATCTAATTAGAGATTTGAGGTTTCAGCTTGTTATTTGGCCATTGAATAAAGGATTTTATGGAAATGAAAACATGGTATATTTTGAAGTCAAAGTATTATATAAGGAAAAATGAAGATGATCCCTATGAAGTTAAAGCATGTGATTTTTCTATTTTAATTCTAACTGACCATGTGACATTTGGGAAGGTCATTTAATTTCTCTGAGCCTCAGTTTTGGGAATGCACAACCACAATAAGGCATATCTTCCCTTGCCTACCTTCTAAGGTGGTAGGGAGGATCACATTTGGCAATGCCCGTGAAAGTACTTTGCAATCTCCCCCTTAATATGACATTGTTTATTTTATGACATTGTATTACTGATTATTCACAGAATCAAATATCCTGTGAGACACAAAATATTTGGACATCAATACAATTGATGAGGACAGCATGCTTAATTGCTGAAAAAGCTGCATTCTGACTCACAAAGCAAAAAATTTTAAAAAGGAAGCTACTGTTTTACGTAGATATAGGAATTAGCCCAGTAGTATTTGTCTCTTCGTCCCACTAGAGGCTGTAGAGTAATATCTGCCTGTGTGTATGTTTACATAACTATGTAACATTACTGTCCTAAGAGACCCTAGATAACTCTCACAAACTTCGGGTTCACTTACATTCCTCTTGGCAGAAAAGTCGCAGTATGTTGAGGGTAGGTGACCCCAGAGTCTAGAGCCCTCATGCAATCAAAGAGAACTAACAGAAAATAAGCCAGAATACTGCACTGACTGACAACCCCATTTAGGGAGGCGTCAATTTAACTTTAAACCCATTAGCTCATTGAGAGCAAGGGAGAGAAGGGGATGTCTCCAAACGCAGGAAACTGTTGCCATAGCATTTTCCTTCTCTATTTCTGCCTCCTCCTCCTCCCCCAAAGCAGCAACAATTTGTGCTCTCCCGTTTTCTTTCAGCAACCAAATGCATTTTCGGAAGCCAGGACTCCAGGGATGTGATAGCTACACCACCTAATAACTGTACCTGGTAGGGATATTGAATAAGTCTGAGAGTGCTGTTAAGTTTCTCCGGACAGAATCATCTTTGCGGATGCAACTGCAGAACAGGAAACAGACTCAGGGAAAATTGTAGTCCCCCCCCCCCCCCCATCTCATTGGCTATCTGCACAAGCTAAGCCACAACAATCGCTCCTGCAACACATCGGATCCCTTTCAGTACTCGAAGCCGTGGACAGCTCCCTCACCTCGAGGTCCGTTCCTCCGCAGTGAGTCGCCTCGCGTCCAGCCCGCACGGGTCGGTGCGGCACCCGCCACCAAGTCTCCGCCAGCGCGCAGAGAACACGCGCTCCCCCACTCCTCCCTCTCGGTGCCCCCGCCCCTCGCTCACCCCGACTCACTCCAGCGGCGACTTTGAGGGATTCCCTCTCGGGCGGCCTCTGCAGCAGCACAGCTGGCCTCATTTGCTGCACGGCGAGCATGGATCTCAGAGGAAGAGGCTTTCCCAGCATCTACAGACTTCGAGTTCTCCTGATGCTGTTCCGTGAGTAGCGTCTGGGCCACCGCGAGGGCAGGGTGCACTATTTGCTGAGAATAGAACCGGCAGAGTAAAACCAGTAGCTTAAGGTCAAAATGTGGCCCTTACGTTTTGCTATTTTCTTTCTTTTTGGGCGGCGGGGTGGAGGGCCTTCCCGCCGGTGGCAGGGAATTCCCCAGAGGGCCACACACCTGTACAGCACATCCCAAACACAAAGCTCTGCGAGCCTGCTTCGTGGGGTCAGAGCATTGGCAAGAAAGATTTGGTTTAAAAGCCTAAGATGAAGAAAAAAGCCAGTCGGCTCACAAAATAGTAAGGCTTTACATTTTTAAATTTTTATTTTGATTATAAATTAACAGCAGCGGAGTTAAAATTGTCGGCGCTAGGTTAGAGAAACGGCTCGCAGAGCGCACAGCAGCCGGCAAGGAACTTTATCACCCCAAATCCCGCAGACCACGATCTCTCCACCCTTGTGCCCGCGACGCGTGGGCTTGCTGAGCCCGGAACCGATAGGATTTTGGGGGGTTGTTTTTCCGCAGATACAATGGCTCGAATCACGGCAGAACAAGAAGTGGAAAATCTCTCAGGCCTTTCCACTAACCCTGAAAAAGATATATTTGTGGTGCGGGAAAATGGGACGACGTGTCTCATGGCCGAGTTCGCAGCCAAATTTATTGTCCCTTATGATGTGTGGGCCAGCAATTATGTCGATGTAAGGAACCTTTTCCCTCCTGGCTTGCTCCTAGGGCTTCAGGGGCGAAGGGCACCCTCCCTCAAGGCCCCGTGAAGACCTGGGTCGCCCGCCTTCCCCCTCTGCGCCCCTGCAGGCTGCTCCCGAATGCTGCATGGGGGTTCCGGCTTGTAACGCCTTCTGCTCGCTCTGCCTGCTTTGAAAGTAACCCCCCCTTTCTCTGCTTCCCTAACGGCCGGGTCTGCACGTAGAGCATCTAACCGCATGTTCCCGGACCCGGGAGCGCGCGCGCAAAGGAGCGCCCAGGCGTGCAACCCCGAGTTTGGACGCGCTGCCCTTTACAGCCCGCACCGAGGCCGGGCTCGCTGAGGGGGTGCGGGGCGTCTGTGTTCCCAGCTGATCACCGAACAGGCGGATATCTCACTGACCCGGGGAGCTGAGGTGAAGGGCCGCTGTGGCCACAACGAGTCGGAGCTGCAGGTGTTCTGGGTGGATCGCGCGTATGCGCTCAAAATGCTGTTTGTAAAGGTAACCCCGAGCGGGGCGCGGAGGCGGTGCTGCCTCCGGGTGGGTGCGGGCGTGGGCCGCCCCTCGGTTTCCTAACCCAGAAGCCGTGGGGGCGAGTGACGCGCGCCTCCCCCGCTCAGCAGGAAAGTCACAATGCGTCCAAGGGACCCGAGGCGACGTGGAGGTTGAGCAAGGTCCAGTTTGTCTACGACTCCTCGGAGAAGACCCATTTTAAAGACGCAGTCAGTGGTGAGTAGAGGCCTCAGGGCTGGGGAGGGGGCCTGGGAGACCGCGGGCACCACAGAGAGCGCAGCCGTGGAGAAATTCGGAAATTTTATGGAAACCGATCCTGGCTCTGCACTTCTAGGCTACGTCCGCCCTGGGCTCTCTCGCTGAGGTAGAGGAGGCGGGAGCACTGGTGCGTCTGTCCCCGGGGCCTTAGGCCTTGTAGATGCGCAAGGAAACCCGGGCCTAAGGACCAGCCCGTCACCCGTAGTAGCTTGATCCTGGATGGGACGTCTCAGGAGGGCCTGTCATCTCCTGGCAGGTTCAGGACAATCTCTTATGATTTGTCCTTTCAAGGAGTACGGAGAAGGGCAAAGCTGTGTTTTTTTTCTGCACCCCGGTTTTTCTTCTAATGCGTGGAAACTTGAAAGGGTCAGTGTGACTCCTTTTCACTCAGGATTTGATGGCCTTCAGTATCTTTCTGCTCATGTCCCCAGGGCTCACACTCGATCTTCAGTCATGGACTGCAGCTACCCCAGAGCGGATTCTGAACCGTGTCCTAATTTATTAGCTTTTCCTGCCCATCACTCCAACAACTCACCCAGATCCTCCAAAAATATCGTGGCAAAAGCAACAACCATTCCCCAGATAAGAATGTTCCCATGTGCAGGCCCCATCAAAGACCACACTTAAGTTAATTCATTACCTAACTTATTTATTTAGTAAACTGTCTAATCTCCTACTGACGCCTTCCATCACCTGGGCACCTACGTTGGGAAAAGGTTTTTATTGAGCACATGAAAGAATGTCCATGTCATTTCTTCCTTTCCACCTCTTTTAATCATTGTAGTAAAAAGCATTTTCTTCTCTTCATCAAAATCCATATTCAAATACTTCTCCCAATTACGTTAGATGCTTCCCCCCCATCCCCCGCTAAAAATAAAAGGAAAAGAGGAAAAAAACCAAAAACAAACCCCACAAACATGTGTCAGAAAAAGAGAAAAAAGAGGCAGACCTCCAAAGAGTATATAGGTGTACCAGGGCATCTGCCCAGGGCACCAGCAATCAGCCCTGCTTTGTTGAGTAAGGTATTTTATTCTGTGCGGGCCAGTGTGAAATGTGGAAGATCAATGCACTGTATCTTTGGACTCTCCAATGTCAGGGTTTATATAGTAAAAAGAAGGTTGGGTGTGTAGGTATCACTCTCCTCTTCCAGACAAGAAATTTCAAATCAGTGTTTAAGGAGCCCCTGCTCATGAAAGAAGGGGTGTGCTTGTCCTTTGTCACCCCTTGATGTCACTTGCAGAGCCCCAGCCCCCGCAAGGCAACACAGAGGATCAGAAGGGTGTCTGGAGCGGAGAGGTAGGAGCCCGCACATGAGATTAGGAGATCAGGATTCTGCCAGAAAGAGGGTCCTAACGGTTGCTTTGGGCCATCCCTGCAGCTGGGAAGCACACGGCCAACTCCCATCACCTCTCTGCCTTGGTCACCCCAGCTGGGAAGTCCTATGAGTGTCAAGCTCAGCAATCCATTTCACTAGCCTCCAGCGATCCACAGAAGACAGTCACCATGCTTCTGTCCGCAGTCCACATCCAGCCTTTTGACATCATCTCTGATTTTGTCTTCAGTGAAGGTAGGTTGGTGGGGGGATCGAAGTGGGAGGAGGAGAAGACAGGAGCCAAGGGAAGGCTGACGTCAGGATGGATGAGGAAGGGGACCTGCCGGGGTCCCATGCTATTACCACTTGTATTTTCTTTAGGCTGACATGACACTTCCTCTCGCTGTAATATTTTAGGAACAGTATCAACTTTCTTCAATGGCTCCTTCTTCTCCCTTCCTCCTTTACTCCATTTTCTCCTCTCCCACTTTCTCTTCCTCCCTCCCTCCCTTTATTTCTTCCTCTTTCCTTTCCTCCCTTCCTTTGCCTAAGAGGAACCTTGATGGAGAGAGACGTAACAAGATACATTTGGAAAACCTGTATATAATTTTGATGCAAATTTCCCTATGAAAAAGCAGCTAAAAATCTCAAGTACTTACCTGGAGAGCCATGGATTGCAGAAGGGCCTCTGCTTCTGTGGACCTCAGTTTCTCCATGTTATTTCAAGCACTTTCAGCTGTAGGTTCTGCCACTGTGAGTCTGTTTTTGTGTAGCTAGAATGTAGTAGGTGTGTGTGTGCACGCATGCACATACGCAGGTCACAGAGAGACTCATGAAGACCTCCCTCCCTCCAGCCCTCACCTTTGTGGGGAGGAACACCCATGAGGTTCTGGGGAAGCAAGGGTCCCTGATCTTTTCCCTCTGGGGTGTGGAGAAAGGCTTCTTCTCAGTCTGTGCTAGTCTCTGAAAGGGGTTCAAGCAGCATATAGCTGGGCAGATTCAGGATGTCCACATTCTCTTAGTTCTCTGCAGCCCACCAGAGGTTGGGCACAAGGGGAATCCACATTTTGCAACTTATCCGAGTCTAGCCCCAATTTATACTGGGCAAATGTAGGGTAAGTGAATTTTTTAATTCATTTGTTCCTTCTTGTCTGGAGAAGGTTGTTAAGAAATGGGGAGAGATTCTGGTTGCTTTATGGATACCTTCCTTTGGGCTGGGAATCCCCAGGTGAATACAACTACTGGAATATACAGGATATCAGGGAATCCCCATCTATGTCATACACAAATCATTAAATCATTTCCCAGGGAATCCAGCTTTCATAAAATTCCCCTCCCAACTCAGAGTATACTAAATAGAATCTACCCCACCCCCACCGGGATGATTTAAAGACCATTTGAGCATTCTTAAGTTAACAGTCTTTGACAGAAGAGCCGACTTCTTTTTTCATCTTTGTATTTTTACCACCTAATACAGTGTTTGGCACACTGTAGATGCCCAGTGAAATTTGGCTGAATTGATATTTTGAAGCCGTGGATACAATTAACAGAGGCTTCCAAATGCTTGAATGCCAGATGAAGCAGAATTTAATATATTTACTAAGTCAGTGCAACACTTACTTCCACACACTTAGGGGAGAATGGGTTATTCCATTTTAAAGGACCTTCCAGAAAAATTGAAACTAAACTCTAAGTATTAAAACATAACATTTTTAAAAAATCTGTTTGATTATGGACGTATTTATATAATGTAAGTCAATGTCTTTCTTAAACTGAAAATATTAACTATAATTAAATGTAATTGAGCTATGATTACTGATGACCAGGAATTCATGAGGAACATATTGGATTGTGTAGAATCAGTCCCCAGGGTCCTTCCCATAGATGCTTTTGAGTTTATAAGGGAACTCTGTATAGTCTCTAATGACTCTGTTTGTTACCGGTCAGCTCTTGGGCATGTCCTTACTTGTTGGTGCTACTAATACTATGAGGGCTGCCTTCACTAGGTCCTTCCCACAACCTCACTTTCACTCATTCTCAGTTATTTCCACATTGTTGCTTACAGTCGTTTATGAACTGAGAAACCAAATCTCATCCATGTGTAGGATCCTATACAAAGTGAGAGTAAATGAGTACTGAGTAAGGACCAGAGCTATTTTCCTGAACATCAGTGAAGTTCATGGCATAGACTTAATGGACCTCTTTTGTTTGAAAAACAGTTTTTATCCACTTCCAGGTCCTGAACAGGCATGGTTGCTGGGTAGACTTAGAGAGTTTGTAAGCAGAACTTTCTAAGGGCAGATATATTAAGCACCAGCCAATTGTACTTGTCTCCCCCGGGCTTTTCTGGGTAATAATTAGGATGTCCCCTCCTGTAGGGTGCCCTGGGGCGCAAAGCTCCTGCTCCTGGGAGGAGGCAAGCCTCATTCAGAATCACTCACTGGATCCTTGTGCCTTTGTGTGGCAGGGGCTCTTTTTTTTTCTTGCTCCTCCCATCTGTGCCTCTCAGCACCTGCCCCCCACTGTGTTTTGTAAGAGATCATTTTATTTGATTTGGTGGAATCCAAAAGATTCCTTTTGGGGTGCTGTTTTGGGACTTGGCACTTGCCCCTCCCCTTTCTCAGAATAGAAGCTCAGGAGGCTCTGATGTGTTGCCTGTACCTGAGTGGGGTGGGGGGGCAGCAGTATCTGGTCATATATCTGCACACCCACTGTGGGGGTATGTGCTTGTGGTTGGCAGGTGTGTGCAGGACCTACAGCCAAAGGGTTTCCAATGAAGGACTTATTCCCTGTGTAAGGGGGCCATCCTGGCAGTCTGAAGTTTCAGACCTGCCTGCTTAATAGACTCTGAGAAAAGCAAGGGTCAGTGAAATGGATTACTGGATACTCACAGGGCTGAGAGCAGCTGGAATGGGGGTTGACGTCTTTATCACATAAATCCCTTTAGTGCTTTGAGCTCAGCTACTACACTGATCCTCAACAGAGGTCTCTTAGCCCAGCCTGTCTCCAACTGCAGTGTGCACACAAATCTTCAGCTGCATTGTGTACAACTGTGGTGATCTTGTTAACATGCAGAGTCTGGTTCAGTAGGTCTGGGGGCGGGGCCCAAGATGCTCCATTTCTAGCAAGCTCCCTGGTGATGCTGCTGGTCTGTGGAATACTGTAGGGGGTTTGAGGGATCTTGAGCTGATCAAGGAAAAGATATGACCTTGAGAGGCAGTAACACACAAGCTTGATTTGGTGGTACTTGGACAGGGTTGCATCAGAGGGGAAGCTGCTCGGAGCATGAGACTGTCCAGAGGGAGGCTTATGGGGACCACCATCCAGAAGGGGAGGAGGGCAAGTGGGGAGAAAGGAGCAGGGAGAGGGGGGCTTACGTGTCTAGGTGATACAGCTCAGCAGCATGGTAAGAAGTCTCTGGATCAGAGAGCTCTGAGGGGCAGCAGAAGCTGAGGCCTTTTACCTCTAAGGCCCTATGTTATCAATGGGTAACAGCTGTGGGGTGAGGTTTAGTATGCAAAGCAGGCAGGCTCTAAATAGCTAAAGATATGCTTGTTTGGGCTGGTTTTTAAATAACTAGATGTGTAAAAATTTGAGTTTGGCATGGCAGGCTTTCGAGCTAATGGTCTCAGCCTGCAGTGAAGAAATAAACCACCTAGGGGCCAATACACAGAGGCTACTTTGGCTCATTTCTGTAACCAACACACTTTCATGGCAACTACCAGCCTGCAGTTCAAGGCACCTCCTGCTTCCCAGTTGGGGTTGATTAACGTGTCCTTCCACAGTGAAGGCCGTGTAGTGCGTCCCTTTGAGCATCCCAGGAGTTTCTGGCTGGGATGGGATGAGGATTGCATCACTGATAGGCAAAAAAATCAGACTGAGAATTTTAATGGCTTGAATGAAAGGCAACTTTTATGTATGCATAATTAGAGAAGAAACATAACAGAACCACAGAGGGTGTCTCTGTTCCCCTTTATTAAAGATTCAGGTTTAACAGGCATTTAAGAGTTACCACATAGAAGCTGGTGCCTTTTCAATTCTCGAGGGGAAAAATAAGCAAACAAACCAACCAACCTGTAAAGAAAGTACTGAGAGTCCAGATTACCGCAGAGAAACTGAGGCTCAGAGAAGTGAGGTTATTGGTGAAGTCTGCCCTCTTGGTGGCTGCTCGGGCTGGGGCAAGAGCCTGTCTTTGGTATCAACTCCTGTGCTCTTAGCCTCTCAGAGCTTCAGCTGCTCCCGCTGAGCAACTGTAATAAACATGTGAACGCAGGAGACGCCTTTACAAAGGTTGTCAAGTCCCCTGAGTTCATGAGCTTTTTATTAGTATTCCTAACAGCATGATTGGGAGATGCCACCTGATCTTTATTTTACCCAGATCTGTGTTTTAGCGGAAATGACGTGCCTTACCTTGCTCTGTACAGCAGCCCCCAGTAGAGCACCCTGTGGCTAGCTGCCACACCACACGGGCAGGAAGGCTTAGCTGATGCTGATCCAGAGCGTTGTGTAGACCTGTGATTTACTTAGCATCTACCAGCCAAGAAACGGGTCACCCTGGGTGGTTGTTCCTTAGGATCTCCTGGGTAAGAATCTAGGGGGAGATAATCCTGTTTCGAGCACTGCTAAAAACTGTGTCGAGGGCTGGGATGTGGAGCCCTAGTGTGGGGCCATGGAGCTAGCCAGTTGTAGAATTCAGTATTCCTGGTACTGTCCTGGAACATAGTGTTTCAGGCTGGGTTCCCCCGGGAGCAGATCCTATGCAAGTATGTAAGTGCAAGTGGTTTATTTAGGAGGTGATTCTAGAAAGCACTGGTAGGGTGCTGGGGAGGGGAGCTAGGAAGGCAAGACTACCAGTAACAGGAGCATTAATGAGCAGGTTTCCACCGTGGGCACCTGGGGCTCACACTGCTGGAACCTCTGGGAGTGTAGAACCCACCTCCAACTATCTGGCCTGGGAGGTGGGAAAATGGCATTTACCCACCAACTCCCATCCACCATTGATGGCTGCTGGGGTGGGGGAGAGGCTTTGACTCTCTGAGACTTCTAACCTGCCTTGTAGGCAAAACCCACTGGAATGTGTGGGAATGGTGAATACCAAGGCAGTAAGACACTGTCTGGGTCTGCTACACCTAGGTACTGGCATATGTGAACTTTCCCTGCCATGGAGGAGCTTGCAGGACAGTGAGAAAGAGTTTACACAACTTTTTCTTGTGCATGCCATATGCCTTATGCACAGTAGCATCTATTGATAATTG